AAAAAATGAAATGAAAAAAATCGCATTATATTATATTTTTATATCATTTAAGCGATTTGTGATTCTACATATAGCCATGGATTTAAGTCAAACAACAAAACAAAGAAATTGATCATTGAATGATGATGATGATATCACTTGGCTGGTTAGCACTGGAGTTAGTCATAAGCCACATATGCATGCATGCAATGTGTATTTAAATTGTCATCAAAAAAGGATTGGCTTTTCATCATCATTGCCATAAACCACTAACACCAACCATAAAAAAACCAGCAGCTTAAATTTTTTAAATTGGCTTTTCGGTGGATGATGACAGTTTATTATTATTGTGGAGCCATATTTATGATTGAAATTTTTCAAGTTTTTTCTTTGAACAAAAATTGAATGAAATGAAAGCCATTTTAAAAAGGGGATAGGCCACACACACACACAGCATCGAATATTAAATAATTACATTGAAAAAAATGTTTACACCTGTCGTTTTATTATTATTATGCAATCATCAACAACAACATGGTTGATAATGATGATGTTTTCCTGCAAAAAATTTTTCATATTTCATTTACACAATCGGTTTCTGTAACGGTACAAACTTGGCGAACGAAGATTCTTCTTTTTTCTTCGTCGAATGATGCAACTGACAAGCATCATCATCATCAACAATGATGCCTGGTTTGATGCAGGTGTTACCGACATTATTCAAAAAAACAAAATCAAAACATCAACTTTTTTTCAGTTTTCATTGAAACTATGATGATCATTATTAATTTTTTCCATTTTTTTGTTTAAAAAAATTCAAGAGGCAGCATACAACAACAACTTATATCGCCTGTGTTTGCAAAAGTTATTTTCAATCATCATTTCCAAACCCAGTTTTGTTTTTTTCTTCGTAAGTCAGGTTAGACTTGGGTTAGATTGTGAATCAAGTGAGATAGACCTTGGCAAATAGCATATAGACCAGAATCCAAAAAAAGGAAACAGAATCTAAAGAATAATGAAAGTAAAGTATGAAACGCTTCACAGATAATGATGATGATTGAGAGAGAAAAAACATGGTAGAATTTGGCCCGAACCAAAAAAAAAAATACCGACTAAAGATGTAATTTTGTAACAACAACAGCACAAAAAGGAAAGAAAGAATCCAGATCCAAGTGAAATAATAATGATAATGACTGAATGAATGAAGTGAAAGAATTTCCAAAAGAATCGGCAATTGTTTCATTCACTTGGAATCAGTTCAGCTTTAACGATATTCACAAGCGAAGATAATAACAAAAAGAAAATCACAAAGATAATGGACTATCACTATAGCGAACAAACCAGAATATTCTCTCACACACTTTACTTTCAAACTTTAACCAAAAAAAACATAGACCTCTGTGTTTGCCTGAATCTTTTTTATTCGGATTCTATCATGATGATAGTAATGATGATGGTGAATATTTTTCTGAATGGAATTTCCAAGAAAATGAAAAACAATTAGATCGACAACGACGACGACGATCAAAGGGTTATCATCATCATCATAATGATTACATCGATTCATTCAAATAATTACATAGGGAGAATAGAATTTGAGCAACAACAAAAAAAATTCAAATAAAATTAAATAAAATAACCCAGTTGGTGGATGGTACAAACTGGAAAAAACTGAAAAAAAAAACAAATTTTTTTGAACAAGAAAAAAAGTTTAAACATTATTTTCATTTTCAATGAAAAAAAATTGTTGAAAATTAAATCAGTATCAGGGTACTTAAAGTTTATTATTATCATCAAACATCCGATGTGGATGATGATGATGGAATTTGCCTTCATCGCTCCCTGGCTCCCACACACTCTAACAAACATAATATGCATTCATTCATTGAACCAGAAGAATCTGAATAATGGAGTAATGATCTTTGATGATGATGATCAATAATTAATATGAAAATTAAATAAAATAAAAATTCATATGGTTATCAAGAAAGAACCAGAATCATTTTCCATGGTTCCCATTTCTAAGAATTCTTCTTTTCTTTCCATTACTATTACTATAGTTTGCTATTCTATTGTTTTTTGGCATCGATAGAACCCGGGTAATTTTTCTGGTATAGATCCGATCCTATCATCATCACTGAATCCAATGTTTGCTTGAATTTTTCCCATATTAAACAGAAATGTGAATAAGGGAAAAATTGAAGGCCCAACATTACAAGCAAGCATCACCATCATTTTATTCGGATGTAAAAAAATTAAGCAAAAAAGAAAATGAGAAGAGAGAGAGGAGAAAAAGTTAATTAACTTATGTAACTAACTAACTTATATAATATTCTTTTTCGATTCTCATTTCTTTTTTCTTCTTTATGTGAATGTCTTTTAGATACAATGTGAATAAGCAGTATTGTGTCAGGATTAAAAATTCAAGCAAAAACAAAAAAGGTCTTGCATTTTTATTCACAGTGTGTGTGTGTTTGCTGTGTTCGCAGAACAAATCACCATTCACGTTTTGGGTATAATTTTTCATCTTCTTCTTCTGGGGTAACATGAGAAAAAATGTGAAATTTTCAATACTACGGTAGGATAGAAACCATGATTGGTAGAATAGATAGATAGCCAAATGGATTTAACTTTTCATTAAAAAATGAAAATGAAATATCCATCTCATTTTTTCTCTCGTTTTTGTTGCCCGACCAGATTCATTTTTTTGGATCGTTTCAACCATAGAAATGGGAACTAAGCTAAAAGAAAAATAAATTATATTCATTTCAAGAATTCACAGTCATTTTTCATCATAGCAATTGTAATGTTTAATTCAAAAGAATTTTTTTCGGAATTAACAACCAGAAAAATGTGAATAAAAATGGATTATACCAGGGCCATACATTTTAAATACAGAGACAGGGCAATTTTCAATATTAATTCGAATCTAGACTACCTTTATATTAATTTGCAATAAATTGAAATCAATCAATTTCAATCGATCTGATTGATCGATTCGATGAACAACTGAACGTAAAACAAACACTGATTTGAGCAGATGTCTTTCAAAGATGATGATGATGGTCGGAGTAAATTGATTAACTGGCTGACTTATTAAGTTAGAGAATGATTACAGATGATGATAATTTGCCAACCGAAACAACAAAAATTAAATTATTCGGATGTCTATCATCGTTTTAATGATGAAAAAATCTCCTAATTATCATCATCATCATTATCAGGATCGATCCAGAGGCAAAAATTGATTTAGACAAACCGAGAGATGGAGAAAAAACAGCCGCCTCGATCATCATTACCATCATTATGATGATGAATCTGTTTTCCATTCATCATCATTTCAAGCAAATTTACATTGACATTAAGCCAGCATCATATAATGGTCAAACACACAGCGAAAATGATGATGAATGAGTTTATTGGACAACAAACACAGTGTGTGCTGTTTGGATTGTTGTTTTTTTAATCAAATCCATCAATCTTGATGACAAGTTTTTTTTTGTCCGTTGAACGGAACACGGAACTCGGTCCTCTAATAATAATGACTGTGACATTGAATTTTTTTGTGTGTATGTTTAAGGCAAAAACCAACCGAATATTGGAGACAGAAAAATCAATTAATTAATTATCGTTGACCTTTTTTCCTCATCATCATTATCATTATTTTATGGCAAAAAAGGTTAATTATTAATTAATTAATGTCGACATTGTTGTTGTTGTTGTTCAAAACAATAGGAAAATCTATTGTCTTTCCCTCGATCTATCGATCGATGTGTGCCATAATTAATGACTTTTCAATATGAATGATAATGTTCCCAACGAACATCTGAAAAAATCAGAAATTTTTTTCGTGCCGAAAAAAAGATTGGATATCGATATCGATCATATTCTTTGTGAATAAAGAAAAATCCAATATATTTCAACAATGGTTATAATAATAATGATTCGCTATCGAAAAGAGCAAACACGATTAGAATGAAAATGCAAAAACAAAACGAAAAACAAACATTTTTCATGGATAGATCAGATTTATAGATTGATGATGACTTTTGGTTCTAGAGAAAAATAGAAAAACAAACAGAACAATGCTATGTAACTACGGAAAAAATAATGCAAAGATTTCAATTCGCGTGATTGGCGTTCGATTTATTCTGATTTTGTTTAGTTTTTTTTGAATTATGATGTAAAATGTCTTTATTATATACCCACACAGTCAATTTGTTTGTTTGTTGCTGTGTTTGAAGGTAAATCTTTTTTGCTTATATTTTTCGATTTTGAATTTCAAATTCTGATCAATCGATTGGAAGAAAAAACAAGTTTTTCTTTTCGATGAATAAGACAGCAATTTTCGGCTTAATACCCGATTGAATGTGTGAGTTGGGCGCTTTGGCAAAAGTGAGAGAAAGAATCAAATGGCATGGTTATAGTGAATGGCCGAAATCTTTGTCATTCATGTCTAAGTTGTTGATCGGTTGGCCATCATCAATTGTGAATCAAATCAGATCAGATCAAATCAAAGATAGTCGTCACACACAAATCAACAACAAAAAGCATTTTCGCCTCTGGCATTCACTCTTTATGTTTTGTCAGCCAATTATGATTACCATCAAACCGAGTTTCGATCAGGCCGAGTAGGCTGTGTTTTTTGCAAATGCAAAAAAAATGAATTTCATGTTTGCTGTTGGGCGCCATCAATGACAATAAATAATTTTTTTCTATTTCGTATTCAACTCAATGTAATTATATATAGTGTCACTTGTCATTTGAATTGTGAGGAAAAAATGTTTGGAAATTTTGAATTCAGATTGAAATTGGCCAAAAAAATCGTTGTGATTTACATAAATTACGCGAGTAAATGTAGGCCTCCTTGCAAATAAAAATAAAAAATGGAAAATTTGCTAAACGAGCAAATTGAAATTCGTGACAAAATAAAAATAGCTTGCTTTATCTTATTTTGGTTTAAAAAAACTGTTTCGTCAATTATAATAATAATATTTTTTCAACGACAAAACACAACTTACCTCACAATGGGTTCGATTAATGTTGTTTAAATTAAGGCGAAAAATGTTGTCCCTGTGTGGAAAGAAAGACAGAAAAACAAGATTAGAAAATTAATTTGATTGAAAAAAATTGTGTAAATTTGCTAAAAGAGAAAAACTTTCTGAGTGGAAAGAATATCGAGAGAGAATGAAAGAAAGGTTTTTTTTTGGTAAGCAGAACGAATTTGATTAATATGTAAATTGTTGATGATGATCATCATGCTAATGATGACAGATCAATAAAATGAAAGAAAAATTTACATTGAAAAACACCATTATCATTATATCCGATTGCAATTTTACTTCCAAAAATTACAAAATGTATGCATGTAAATTGTATTGTAATAATAAAAAAAACCATGTCCAGAACCGAATAAAGACATTATCAAGATGATGATCCTGTAGAATATCGACTGGATATGGCGTAGATGAACAAACACGCCTTGTTTCTCGATCAATTTTGATCGATCTTACAGTGTCCATTCTTCATCTCAATGATGATGATGATCAAGTCAAGTTCAAACTTGAAAAAAATCGAATATAGTGATGATATTGGTGACCATCATCATCATTATTATCATCGTTTTTTTCTGGCTAGTAGGGGCGGTATAATAATCATCCATTAAAATAATCATTAATCAATCCAGGCAAAAAAGGCGAGTCTCGTGACAACCAACCAACCAACAACGAAAAACCCTCGATGATATAAAATTATCATTATTACACGCAAATTAATTCGATATTTTCGATTTTTGGTGGTGGAAACAACAAACATATCCTATGAATTCAATCATGATGATGATATTGATGAAGAGATTCAGATTTTAATCGAATTTTGATTTTCTCTCTGTATTATTATTTTTTGCGTGATTACTTTTCATTTTTTCTTTCAATTCAGATAAAGATAAAGATAAAGATAAAGATAGTGACAAACAACAAATATCATTATTGTTTTCGTCAGATAAAACAAAACAGAAACAGAAGAAAGAAAGATCAATGAGAATACGTGCACAGGTATGGCAGAATGGTGAAAAGATCCGTGATGATCTCGATGATGTCTTAATCATCATTGAATCGGACAAAACTAACCAATCATCATCATCAATGATAACCATCTTCTGATAATGATGAACAACAAGCCCAATTTCTTGAATTTTTTTCTTCTGAATTGTTTTTAGCTTAGCAACTAGCAAACAAAGAGGATCTGAATATTGAATCTGAAAAACAACAAGTTCATTATCGACGATGGCCTTAACCAAAAATAATTGGGTTTGTTTGTTTTGTCTTGTGCAGGAAAAAACTCAAAAATACATTTTACGCGTGTCATTCACGAATCGATCAAAAACGAAAATGCTAGATTTGGCTGTGGTCCAATTACCAATTTGAAGTCCATTCAACTTAAACAATAACAATACTAACCAAGACCTGGACTTAGTTAATAATAATCGTCTTATTCGAAATATAAGGTCCATCCAGAATCGATCGAATCTTTTATAATTGAGAAACACTGCAAGTCCTATTCCAATTTTATCCTCTCTATGTGTTTCCACCAAATAATTAGTCGGTCGGTTGGTTTTGGTGCAAACAAAAAAACTTTTTCACTTTTCCTTTGTTTTCTCGATGAAATTGCTGACTCGATTTCTTGGTTGTTTATTCGAATGAAATTTTTTCTGCTTTTCATCATGATCATTACAATTGTGATGATTTAAACCTATTCGTGAGCATCCTATACATTAAATCAAACTGATGAAGAAACTTTCCGAAACAAACAAATAAACAATGGAAAATGAAAAGATCCATTTCGATCGATCGATGATAGTTTTGCTAGTTGTTGTTGTTTAGATCACTAATTTGCTCTAATTAAATTAGATTTTCTCGTTTTTTCGCCTACACACGACGATATGTGAATGTGATAATCATCACCAGGAGAAACAAGTAAAAAAATTGATGATTGCCTCAACAACAACAACAACAATGACAATAATAAATGAAAAAATAAAATAAAAAACAAAAAAGGAAAACTTACATGGCTCCAACATAAAGCAATTCACGCCTTGGATCAATATAAATGGTACGATAATAAAGATGGCCACATGAGAATTCACGTATATGATCTATATGGGAAATATTCAAAGGGAAAAAGAGAAAAAAATGATGATGATTAGAAAGGATGAACAAACAAACAAACATTATTATTATTATTATTATTATTATGGGCAACAACAACAACAACATAAATCTGATCATCAAATTCTTTTGAAACTAAATGCTTTTTTCATTGAAAAAGAGAAAACACATTCTGATTAAGTGACCATTTTGTTTCTGTTTCAACTTTCAACGAATGGTATCATATTACCAGTTTAGTCTTATTTGGTGTCACCTCTACATTCAATTCAACAACAGAACATATCCACTAATTATCGTTATGGATACGCAAAATAGCCAGAAACATAATAATGTTAAAGGGTGGTGGTGATGAATATAACTAACCAACTAACTCGAATATTTTCGTCACAACTCATTAAACATTGGTGTCCGAAGAAAGAGGGAAAAATATATTTTTTACATAAATTTGTTCGTTTGATCAAAAAGTGTGATATTGGTTTGGTGATGGCCATTGAAAACAAATGAATTTTTCTTCTATTTCGGTCTTTTTTCTTTATGCAATCCCGGTCCACATTCTGGAATGAATGGACAAAACAAAAAACGAAATCCTTAAGGGTCCAATAAAATGTGAATGAGAGAGAAAAATCATCGAAAGAATGGAGAATTTTGTATCAAATTGATGTTATCTAAAGATATGTATCTATTATGTGGAATCCTGAATCAATAACAATAATGATAATAAAATCCATTGAATGAATAAATGTCCATTATGATAATAAATATAAACGAGGCGATAAGGTGCCTGAAAAAAACAGGCAAAGAATATATCTAGCCAAATCAATGACTGAATGAAGAATAATATAAAAAAAATTCGCAGTAATTATGGCTAGTGTAGTTTTTTTGTTGTTGTTTTTCTGCCAGCCATAAGTAAAGTTAGTTTTGCATTGGCGCCATTCAAATGACCACAAGCAAATGTGTGTGTGTGGAATACTAAATATTATTATTGTTATTGTTATTTAGGTAATTCACGGCAGAAAAAAATGGCAATTTTTTTCGGTCCGGCCAAAAACAAACACACACAAAAAACGAAAACGGTGTATGGTAAAGACTTGAAAATCATGATGATGATGATGATCGGTCATTACCATTACCATTATACTGATCAGTAATCATCATCGGTGATGAGCTTGGAAATAAAATAAAGTTTCTTTTCATTTTGAGAAAGAAATTTCTGTAGTTAAAAATCGATTCTATACGTCATCATTATCATTGGGCGCCATATCACATCATTACAAGTGCTCATCATCATCATTATAATCGATTTTTTTGTGGAAAATTTGATATAGGCTCGACTTGAATTATCATGATTATCCATTCATTCATTCATTTACAAACTTATTAAATCAACGTCATTATCATTGAATAATCATCATTGTTGATGATAATCGTGACTGGTTGTTGTGGAAAAGTAAAAGTCATATTGTGCATACCAGAGAAGAGATGTTGAAAAGAAATTAAACTTTGGTTAATGAATATCAACATTATTTATGCGCTTGGATGGTCACACAGAGACAGAGACATCACATCCTATTGTCATCAAAAAAATATTTTTGGAAATTTTGCTGTGTGACAATTTTACAAACAAACAAACTGGTGAATATAGTATAGTAGGTGTAATTATAATCCAACCAAAAAAATATGAAAGAATTGAATGCAGCCATCGTTTGGTATGGTCAGCTAGCAAGCAAGCAGGATGATGATGTGAAGGAATTTTCTTTTTCTTTTTTTCGATTCATTCATTCAACAAAAGAGAGAAAAATTCCTTGCACAAAAAAATTTCAATTTTTTTGCCGAGCAAAAAGCCTACGCATATTTCAATTCAACTAAAATGTTGATCAAAGTTGGCTTTGTTTTTGATTTTGGTTGAAAGTCCAACAAAAAAAATTCAGTTGTACTTTTGCAGTGGTGAATAACATCATCATTATGGGAATGAGCATCAGCAACATTGTAAAAATAATTAATATCCGGTTATGTCCATCCACCACCGAACTGCAAATTTTTAATTTCTTTTTGGCTTTTTTTCAAAGCCACAAAACACACTCACTCTAATTTTGACAAGAATTTTTTCGCATATTTTTCTCATTGAAGCTTAAAAAATTTGAAATGAAAACCGCCCATAAGAACCTTATGAAGATAGGAAAACAAAATCCTAATTATAATCTATTCTCTGTCGTTATCGTCGTTTGTAATTTTCTTTTTCTTCTTTCATTCGCTTTTTCCGCAGAATGATTTCGCCCAAAATCATCATTAATGAAAATGACTTTTTCAAGGGAAAGAATTTTGTCACCAAGTCATGCAACTGGCAACAACCAATGGTTATTGTATGATGTGACACGCACACGCAACCTAAATTACGAAACAAAAAGAAACTGAACGTGCAAATGCGTCAAAACTGGCATGACATGATATCAGCTGATGTGATGTGACTCGAACCTAACCAAAACATTTTCTTTCACACACATTGCCATTATAGTGTCTCCAAGATGGATGAAGTGTAGGCGCCCGACAAACAACACACCCTTGATTATGAATATAGAGGTGTCGACAGACACAGTGACATCATCATTTGATAATGATGCTGGCTGGACCAGCAACTATTATCGATTCGAATGATAGTTATGATTGAATCATGACTAATGTGATGATGATGATGACTTTATTATCACATCATTGCCAACAAATACAGGTGCGGTGTATAAAACACGAATAAATAAAAGAAAAGATGTTACTACTTTTGAATGGAGGTGTAATTTTCATCATTATCATTTATAATGGCCATTAGTAAAGACACCACACTACTAGCCATACTTATACTATCTGCAATAACTGGCCATTAGTTATTAAACTTATTTTTTCTACTGTGGAATCTTTATTTCGTTTTTCAAATTCCACTTGATTTGATTTGATTCGATTTTTTCATTTCATTGATTTTTCACACAATCAGTAAGAGAGAGTAAGCGAGAGAAATACAAATTTTCAATGGGATAATAAGTGTGGGATGATCACCCAAAGGGTCGTTGGCTTGTTTCGAAATGGCGAATGGTGAATGGCGCCCATCATCACCAAGCAGCAGAAGCAATTGCGTGTACGAAAATGATTGGTCTTAAAAGAAATAAGAAAAAACAACAACATTTATTTTCAAATACACAATAACATCATCAATGGGCGAAAAAAGATTGATGAAAGATAGCATCAGTTTATTATAGGAACATAATGTGATGTGTGCAATAATTATCCATTATTTATATCATCATCATTTCATGTGTATGTCCACCACCAATTTCATTTCGATGCAACAATGATATTTTCTCTTTTTGATTGTTTGAATCGATTTGAATCTTTCTTTTTCTTTCTTCGATACAATCCATTCTTTGCAATGATTTTTTGCAAAATTACCAAAACAAAACAACAATGTGCGTTCAACATCATAAAATTCCCATACACACAAGGTTGAATCTTAAGTATCTAACTAAATGAATGAATGAATGAACAATGTAACAAAATGTACAACGAAATCGCCATAAAATATATCAGTATCTTTATCATTCGCTCCTTGCTTTCGATACATTTCCTGTTCTTTTCCAGAAATAAAAAACAACATTCGCGAATCTGATTTAATTATCATCATTTATATATGATGTGTAATGAATTTCGGAAAACGGTCAGGTAAATAACAATGAAAATATGGTAATTTGAATGTTTTTATTCACAAACATCATCAACAACAACATAGTGCCAGAAAAAATGGCCATAAATATTCAGGCATCATTTCTTTCATTGTCACATTTATGACCACCACCAGCATCTTGAAACATTTGAATGACGGTCATAAACAAAAATAATGTTGTTCGAGTTTACCTACAGTGGTGATCAATTTTATTAAACAAAAAATTCTTATCATCATTCATTCAATCGATCACCGGATCGATAGGAAGAAAAAAGTGATTGCGTAATTAGTTTTGAATCAACAAAAAAAAATTTCCAACTGTGTAAACTTTTCCGAAAGATAAAGATATAGAAGAATTTTGATTTGTTAATTCGATTTCTTGCACTCAGTGTGTGTAATGATAATGATGATGATCGACAAAATCAACTAAAAAGGAAATGAAATGACAACCAACAAAATTCATTCATTAAATTTAAAATTTATTTTTGGTTCAAAAATGACCAAGGTCAGTTTGGCCATTCAAGAGAGAGCGGAACTTAACCATGGTGTGCGGTCATCATCATCATCCTCATGATAGAATGGACAAATAGTGAGCTTATACCTAAACAAAGCAAAGCAATTCAAAAAATAGAGCGTATAAAGTGAAATGATCAATTTAGTGGATCATCAATCACACACAGCCAACCAACAATGATGATGATGATGAGAAAATAGAAAATTGTTTGGACCCTTGGTAATAATGAGTGGTTGCTGTTGTGTGCGCGGCAAGATGCATTCGGTACCCACCATACCAGCACTCACTCTCAATCATCTGCCTGTTGATGATAATAATGAAGATGTAAGATAAGGTCGATCATCATTTTATCATCCAAAACATATGATGATGAAATGAAATGATAGATCGAAGACCGGAGATTGCCTCAAGCCATGATGATGATTGCTATGGCTATATGGTACGTGGTGTGTTTTTTGCGCAACAAAACAATGTTTTGCTTAATTATCATCAACCCAGAAAAAAGCAAATCAAAACATCCACAACCAACCACCCACCCACCTATCTCTCTCTTCAGAAATGTGCAATTAATTTTTTCCCTGCTAAAATGAACAAAAAAATATCAGTCATGATTAAGACATTATCATCATCCACATCATTACTTTTTTCCTACAGAATGTCTCTTTAGAAGTTTTCTTCCATGAGTTTTCAGCCAAATAAATCAGAAAATCCTACAAAACAGGTCTCATTACATCATCGATAACAGGGCAGATAGATAGATGGGCAAG